TGCCCAGGGGTACTACTGGCTTCTTATTACATTCAGGTCACTCAGGGATTTAGGCCCAAGGTCAATGATGAACTGGCACCAGGACTCAGAGGAGTCAGTACAGATCTGCTGGTCTCTGCAGCTTGGAAGCGGTGAAAATGGTCAGAGATATAAAAATCGATGGATCAACAGGGGGATTCCTGGTCCCATATTGCTTCTTTCCAGGCCCCTCTGCCTTGGAAAGTGCAGAGTCTGCCCTCTTTCTCAGGATTATTTCTCCAACCTCAGATCCCTATATGTTTCCTCAATGATGTGGGGGTCTTCACATGGGTCTCCCCAATTATTCCCTCCATTATTGTTCCTTTGCTTGAGTCAGCTCCTTCCTGGCTCCCAGGCTGCTGTCAGCATGGAAAACATCCCTCTGTCCTGTTGCCAGGTAGCACCTCAAAGCTCCCCCTCCCCACCTTCCAGGTATATAGACTAGAAAGCTAAAATTTCTTTGGAAAGAAATGTCCCTTGAGCTAGCTGACAGGTCAGGGAATTTGAAAGTCCTTTGGGGGAAGTCTTATATTGCACTTGGGTGGCTCTGTCCACAGGACTTAAGTCTTGTCTGACCCAAGCCAGAGAGTGGGGGGGGGGGGGGCAACAGCAATGGCAAGAGGAGGAGGCTCATGAGAGAAGGCCTGGTACAGAGGCCGTGATGAGGACAACATCAGGGCCCAAGAGCAAGATGGAGTGGTGGCATTTGCCGGTGCCTGCCTCTTGCTGGGTCCAAGCTGGGTCCCCTTCACATAACAGGTAGGGGATAATGGAAAGATAGAATTCGGGGTAATGAGAGGAAGTTTTTAAACATAGTGGTACTTTGTTGACTTGTATATGCAAAAGTGGTCTTGGGTAACCACAGGGCTCAGGGTATTTGCAAGAATAGTTCAAGCGCACATTTGATGGGGATGTTTATAGGGAAGTGGTTTCCACAGTGAGAGAAGGTGAGATGTTGTGTCACCCCAGGACCACACTTTGCTGGCTCCTTTTCATGGAGCCCATCTATAGTCATCATTTCCCCTAGCGGAACATAACCTTCCAGTTTCTTCCAGTTTTTAACCACAGAGGTGTGTGTGCATTGGCATCTCCACTGAGGACACAGGCTCCCCCTTCCCTGTAGAAAATGAGCAAAGGTTCATGTAACACCAGGAGGTGCTGGCAGCCTTCCTGGGACCCCCATGAAAGGGAGATCAGGAAGAGAGAAAAATAGAAGCTGTGGGGCATCACACATCTGGCCTTGCCTGGAAATTGGAGCCACCTGTGTGGCTTTAGGCTCTGAGCCCAAGTTTTGCTTATTCAAACCTCACTGATTTATATTTGATTTTCGTCTTGAAATTACTGGTTGTCCTGATAGAGATCCTCTGTGTAGTAACAGCCCCTGAGAGGTATGGGAGTGGCTGAACTGAAAAAGCAGGAATTTGGTGATGATCCTAGAATGAAAGCAGTTAAACTTTGATTGGGCACTTGCTAGACCCCATCTCTAAGGGGAGAGGGAGGCTTAGAATTTGCATTTCTGACATGTTCAGGCACTTCCCTTTTGACAATTGTTTTCATGTGGTAGTTTCTCTGCTGGACAAACCATGGTTTTGCATATCTTGTGCTAAGGCCTTGTGCTAAATAGCAAGGTTCAATATCAAGAAATTTGATAGGAAATATTCTGGAATTTAATAGCTACTTTTTTGCATCAGTAACAAAGGGCCTGTAAGAAGGAGTTTAGAAATGGGCTCATCTGAACAGATGGTGGGAATTTTATGGGACTACATCTAAGAGCAGAAAGCATGCATTGTACATAAAGGAAGAATGATGTAAAAAATACATATAAGAAAAAGAGAAAAGAAAAGAAATGGGCTAATCTGAACCCAGAAATGGAAAGAAAAAAATCAGCTTTGCTAAAACAGGTTTGTCTAATCTGCTGACTGAGAGCCAATGATTTGGAGACTCAGAGCACTGTGAATGTGGAAGTTTCATCTCCAAACTCTAGTCAGTTAGGTAGGAGAGACTTAATAGGAGAGAAGCCTGGGGCCAATGGCGGCACCAAGTCCTCCTCGTCAGCTTCTCCTGGCATTTATCTTTCTTACCTACAGTGAACAATTAGTTTCTTTTGGGGGTGCAGGGAGGAAGTACCTGGGGCTGAGCATCAATATTCATCACTCCTGCACCTCCTAGAGCTAACTCAGCAGGGGCTGAAACAGAAGCAAAGGACTCCCCTCAGTTACTGATATGGGGCAATTTATTCCCAGGCCTGTGATGTGAAGCACACATTCACATGCCCAGTTAAAATGCAGAATATAAAGCTGGACTGGACAAGTTTCCTGTTTCTTGTTGTTTAGCCTGTGGCATTGACCAGAGCAAAGAGATCAGAAGCATGCAATCAGAACAGTGTTCTGTTGCCAGAGAAACCAGCAGACCTGCCTCAGATGACCTGCGATTGCTCAACACCTAAAGTGAATCTCAGCTCTGAACGCTCATGTCAGGAAGTAGGCAGTTCCCAGAAGGGGCTCCCTTCTCAGACGAGTCCATGGGGATGTTCCCCAGGGAACAGAGCCAGGAGTAACCAGAGAGGGTGACCCCAAATCAGGGACCCCAGTCAAATCTAGGACATGTCCTGTCTGCCGAACCACATGGTGGCCATGGTCCCCCTCCCCTCTTGGGAAGTGTATTTATTCATTCAAACCACTTGTGTTTAGGGGAAATTGGCATGGCTAACCTTGTTTGGGTTGCTGGACCATGAGAAACAATTCAGTGCAACTGAGCAGGTTTTGTTTGTCCCAAGGTGCTGGAAGTCAATGGAAAAGACAGGATGACACTTTCCCTGCTTCTTTGGGGGCAAAGACTGCCCACCCCATTCTCCTGATAGTACCTTAGTGGTGGCGATGATAGTGGCAAGGGAAGGTCTGTGTGTGTGTGTGTGTGTGTGTGTTATGTGTTATAAAAGCCTTGGGTAAAGGCCTTGTTGGCTGCATTGTCCTCATAAAATAAAAGCCATCAAGATGTGGGTCATGCTGAGCTGTCTTGCCTGTAGCAGCTCAAAAACCTTCACCAGCCAGTGCTTCCAATATCATTTGTGAAAGGATGGGGTCCATGAGACTGGAGAAGGAAGTTCATTAAAAACTAAATAAAAAATTTAAAGTACAAAAATGAAGATGTGCCCCTTTCTAAAAAATTTCCATATTCTCTAAGGAGCAACAGTTAACTTTTTATATGTATCCAAATATTTGCCTTGTGATGTGTGTGTGTGTATTTAAAAATAAAAAGAACAATCATTCTATGCAGTTTGTAGCATACTTGTAGAATATGTATGTATTACTATAGAATTTATCCAGTTTACAGACTGCAGCATATTCCATTCATGAGTATCTCAATCCTCTACTGATTTAATCCTTTACTGGTAGTCGTTTTTATTTGCTTGCTATTTAGAAACCCTGTTGCAAGGATTACCCTTGTGGATACAGACTCCTGTCCTTCAATAGTGTTGCTATAAAATATATTCCTAGAAATAGAATCAGGTAAATGGGACCTAAGTCAAACAGAATGTAATTTTAGTGTTTAATAGCAAGTGTTTAATCATACTCTATATTAGTTTGATCACTATAATTTTTAACTAACTGTGGATGCAAAAATCCGATTACTTTCTAAAAAATGAAATAATCAAGATTCACAAAAATTAATAATACATGTTTGTTTTCACATGAGTCTTCTGAATTTCTCCTTCTGCAAAAAGAACTGTAGTTCAGTGTACATTTCAGGTAGTATAACTGTAACTCAGGCAATGCATCTGTTAACCCAGCCCATACAGTAAAGGTACACCAGAACCCTGCTCCATATTAGCTGCTTGTCTTGTCCTTCTGTAGTGTTAGTCGTGAGTTTGTGGAGTGTGGACTCAGGGAGATGATGTGCAATATACTGTTAGCACATGCAGGTCTGCACTGCATTTGGAAAGAATGGTGGATCCTATTGACGAATTCATTGCTTCTTAGCTGTGAATGTGTATGTGAAAGACATGATGAGCTTGGTAGGAATATCAATTCCCAGATCCAAAACTAAAGATTCTTATGTGAGTAGCTTATACAATCATTGCTACTGATTTGAATACAATTGGATAGTGTTTTGGGAAATAACTTAGCCAGTGGTTAAGAACATAATCTGTAGCTATATCAAAGAGTGAGTGTGGAAATCACTGGTACCATTTCCCTGTTGTGTGGTCTTGACCAAGATGCTTGGCTTCTCTGATCCCCAGTTTACTCTTCTGTCAGAGGAGGATATTAATAGGACCTACCCAGAATTACTCCATTGATAAGATTAAGTGGATAATGCATAGAAAAGCACTTAACCTAGAGTAATCCTCAATATGTTAGTAACTGTTCTTCCTAAAGGTATCCATTCAAATACTGAATTTTCCTAGAACTGTATATGTTAGTTTGATTTATAAAATATTCATAACTTCAGGGTTCAGAGCCGAGGCTCCTGTGCAGAAGCTGCCCCTCCATCTCTCCCAATTTCCTTCCATGTCACATCTTGCTGCTTTTCCCCTGTCTTCCCTTTTCAACCAGTGATTCTGATTCCCCCCCCCCCCAAACAAAACCAAACTCAATTCTGGTTTGCTTTTTAAAAGAGATCTTTATTGTTTTTCCATGCTGAATACAACCCTGAGTAGAAGCAACAGTAGACATTTGTCAGTTTGGTGGCTTTAGAACCATGTCTGCTTAGACCAAGCTAATGCCAGTCACTCAATAGTCACCACTCACAGTGAGTGAAGGGGGAGGGGTGGTGAAATGTCTCAGAACAAACACAACATAATATGACAGTGAAAATAAATTACAAAAATTAAATAGTATAAATAAGTTGAGATTTAAGAAGATCCCATCCCAGCAAGTGGCTGTTCAGCGACAGCCATTCCACAGGAGAGGTAGCTATCAAGGCTCAGGACCTGCTGCAGTTGCCCACTGAGGTCACTGGGTTTCTCAAAGCTTCCAGGCCACTCAGGCATTCAGCTCCTCATCCATGGTATACTTCTGCACCCAGTCCTCACTGGGGTTGGCACAGATCTCCAGTTTCTTTTTTGTTTGGAAGCTGTGGAGAAGGACAGAAGGATCACACATAGATCCAGCAGGGAATTCTGGGTGTGCTGTAATCACCCCCACCCCACTTCACTCTGTTCTGAGCAGCTCAGAGCCTGCTTGCTTTCTCAGGTACCCTCTGCCTACCTCATGACTCAGAGGCATCCTCAAAGGACCTGCTGTTCTCTCCTTCCCCTCTACCTTCAGGACCAGCCCCCATCCCACTCCCCACTAGCCCCTGAATGGGTCACATCAGAGGCCAGGATCCTGCATACTTGATAAGCCTTGGTGGGTTGGACCTTTCCAGAATGGTGACCCTGGCCTGTCCATGTCCTTGGCTGCTGTCCCCCCATCAGACCCTCCCTCTGTCCCCAGAGGTGGGTGGAAAGACTGGCACTTACATGACACCAGGCTTGGAGCAGAGGCCGCTGGTGTCAAAATAGGCCACTATAAGATTGCGTGGAATCTGCCGATTGGTATAGGAGAAGCAGCACGAGGTTGGGGTGTTGGCACCAACTGTAGAGGAAGAGACAGAGTGGCCTGAGTTACAGGTTGGCAGAAAAGGCAAGGTCTGAGATGTGCCCCCCCCAGAGCTGATGGTGTGAGGAAGACATCCTTACTCAGGAGATGAGCTCATTGGAAGGCACAGGGCATTTTTGCCTAGAAATAGCCCTTTCTCTGCTCTTGTTTCTGGCTCACTCTCTCTCTGAGAGAGCATCCAGGCATCCAAGAAGACTGTTCTCTTACATCACCCCCCTGTAGGAAAGGAAGCCTTACCGGGCAGAAGAGCAACCTTGGAAACCTTGGACAGTTCTCCTAAGTGAGCTGACAGAAAGAGCTCTGGGGGACCCAGGGTGTTAGTGGGAGTGACCAGACTTGGAGTTTGCCTCCTTTAAACTCATTTGTTTAGGTGCATATTTTGTGCTTCCTAAAAATTCGGTTGTAACTCCCTTACCCCATTCTGACTGTAATCTGAAGGCAAAGGATAACTCCAGCCCCTTTATAGTGGTGAAAAGTCAAGGAGAAATAAAAGAGAAAGGCCAAGGCATTTGGGACTCAGGTAAATAGGAAAAGCTGCTGAGGTCTGACCGAGGCCACACCAACAACATAGACTTACACGGTGCTGAGAAGACCTGGCTGCAGAGGGCCATGGTGCAGAGCAGGATGGCAAGGGCAGACCCGGGGACCTTCATGATGCTGTCAGTGGAGTACGGGCTCAGGTGTTGTAGAGAGAAGCTGGGCTGAGTCTGTGTTGCTGCTGGTGGTGTGCTGGAGTGAGAGCCATCTCCCCTGCTCTATATAGGCAGCCCTGATGGATGGGGAAATGGAATCTGGGGGTGAGGAGGGAAATTCTTAAGCATAATGGTACTGTCATGCTGAGTGTTGCACAACTCAGGGTCTCAGGCAACCACAGGGGCTGAGGATATCCAAGAATAGCTTCTCTGAGCTCTAAGTTTCAACCCACAACTCATGACTTATTCTGGCTTTTTGTGAGGAAATGGTTTCCCCTGTGAGAAGTAGAGGGGCGTGTGTATGACCCAGGCTATTCTTAGGCAGCCTCTTCTCATAAGAACTGATCTATACATGAACTGTGCAGCCCACTCGTTTCCACCCTGTGGGAATGCTTCACAGCTGCTCTATCCCTGTGGCTCAGGCCGTCCTGAGTGCAAGGAGTTGAGTGTAAGAATCCCGGCCAGAGGACACGAAGAAGGAAACCACGTTTCCTTTTGTGCAGCCATCAAACAGTCATTGTGTAACCAGGGCCCTTGTGTTAAAAACTGCTTGAGGGTCTTAAAGATTCATTAGATGTGGGTGCTAATAAGCCAGGAGCCTAAAAGCATGTGTGCCCATTAACCTAGATGGCACATTTATAGAAAAGCATTCTAAAGAGACAAAGCCAGGTATGGAGGTAACTTCAGCATAAGGACATCTGACCCAGTGTCATCTCTAACTCCAGAATCAACAAACCTAAAATGTCCTCTACAGGGAATAAAAAAAGAAATGATATGGTTTATTGTACTTAAACTGAATAAAGTAGCATAAGTATAATCAAATATCAGTTGGAAAACAAAGATGGAATATATATGTGTATATATATATAGTGTGTGTGTATATAGTATATATATATATTGTGTGTATATATATATATATATATATATATATATATATGACGATGTAACCATAAGTAAGTGTGTATGCACGCACATGTATAGGCTGGGAATGGAAAAAAGTAAGAAGCACTGGGAGTAAAGGCCCCAAAATATCCCTGGTAGTTAATTTGTATGGTATACGGGTGACTAATTTTCTTGTTTTCCTCAATTTTTTTAAGCACAATGTATTAACCTTCCTGAATAGTTTACAAATTAAGAATACATTGTGTATTAAAACATTTACATCACCAATCAGAAAGTTGGCTATTATCACTGCTTAATTTGAAAGAAATTTTTGATAAAACATTAAAATTTCTGTCCAGTGATCTTTGCTAAAATGAAGCCTTGATTTTAATTTCTCTGAACTATTTTAAGGAACCTGTAAAATCAGCTGCCTTATTATTCTCAATTCATAATTTCAGGGGTATGAAAGGGTCTACTTTCTCCATCAGATCTACATGTTTATTTTCTTATTCATCCTTAATTTTTATTATGTAATAAATAAGGGCACACAAGCAATAGCTTTCCTTCTTTTTAATGACCTTTGTCCTCTGGGTGCCCCAGCTGTGGGGCAGGTAAACTACATAAACATGTAGCAGAGAGTGCTCAGTTTCCTAGGAGAAAAATAAATGAATGTTCAGAAGGCCTTGAGGAAGGAGCAGTGACCTCCCTCCCTTCCTAAGAGGGATAGGGAAGGGATTCTGAAAGGATGGAGCTTTGGTAGGGACTGGAAAGCTTCACCAAGGTTGAGCATACTTCATAGATGAGGGAGGGGTGTGTGGGGGAGTGTGATGTGTGTATGTCCACTTGTGTGCCAACAGTGCGGTCAGGGGTGCTGAGGGGGAGGACAGTACCCTGGGTAGTTACAGAGTAGTGGAACACATATGGCTGAATTGGGGACGAACCAGAAGGGCTTTGAAACTCCTCTGAAAGGGCTACAACAGTCACAAGCAAAGCAAGACCAACCTTAGGGATCCTGCCCTTCTCTTCAAACACAGGGGCTCCTTCTCTCTGGCTGCGACTGCTGGTTGTGAGTGGGGTAGACAGGCAGGCCAGGGGAATGGTAGGTTCACTGAGGCTTTAGCATGTGGAGCTCTTCCCTTGTGTCTGTCAGTTCCAAATAATGGAGGGCCATCACTTGTTTTTACTGCAAACTATCACAGACAATGTCACCTCCTCACCCTATTCCCTCTGTCCCAACCTTGAATTTACATTCTTTCTTTCACTTGTTGGGGAACTCCCTTTATACTCATGGTTCAAGTTCTGAGAGTTGGCTACTAGGAGTTGGGGAGAGTGAGAAAAGGAAATGGAAACAGCTGACTCAAGTATTTTTCTGGCAATAGACAACTACGAATCCCACATTGAATTCTCATTAATTACTAATGTCATTTTTCCCTTCAAAATTTAGCCCTGTTTGTTTTACACCATTTCTATTTGGTTTATTTATTTTTTAAGAAGATTAATTTATTTATGCATACAAGAAGTGGGGTCTAGGCCAGAAGTGTTGGGGTAAGAGGATTCACTAGAGACAGAGTAGGGAGCAGATCTACTGAAATACTCTTCTGAGGGGAGCAGCGGGTGAGACAGGAGAGGTCTGCTGTGCCATGTGGGTCACTCCCTGGTTGGGATCAAATTCATGCAATAGTGGTTGGCAATACTTGATAGTACTGAGGCTTAAAACCCTGCACCATGAGGGAGGCCTTCTATTTGGTTGATTTAAATCAAATCTTTGCACATGATGATTTTTTAAAATTTAATATGATAGTTTATTTTTACAACATTTTGTGCCTTTTCCCATCTCAGTTGTAATCCCTGTGGGCTTCCCATCACCAAATCACCCACGTGCCATCACCATAGCCCAGTGTACTTACCCCCCATGCCATTTTTTACCCCATTCCCCACTCCACCCCCATAAAATGTCTCTGGTATATAGTTGTTCATTATTATTATTCCCCACCCACCCCCAGTTCTTTATGCTCCTGCTATGAGTGAAACCATCTTGTATTTTCCTTTTCTTCCTGGCTTATTTGACTAAGCATGATCCCTTCCAACTCCATGCATGTTGGCTGCAAAAGGCATGAGTTTATCTTTTATGATTGTTGAGTAATATTCCATTGTGTATATGTACCACATCTTATTATCCAGTCATCTACTTTTGGGCATTTGAGTTGACTCCATGTCTTTCCTATTGTAAGTTAAGCAGCAATGAACATGGGGCGCACATGATGATTTTCACATGATGAATGATGAGACACAGACATTATTTCTTATAACAGTTCTTTTTCAGTTAGTGTTTTGTTGAATATAAAATTCTATCTTAGTATTTATATATTTGTAAAAATTTTCAATTCCAAACTACATCATATCCTTTGTCATAGGTATTTTTGCTTGGATTGAAAAATAACAGTTTTGCATGCAAAGCATGGGCTTGATACTGCCAACATTGAATGATTAATGTAAGGGAGTCTCAGGGTGGTGGAGCTGGCTGAAAGGTTCTTGGAACTTACCTAGGTGGTAAACTGATGTTCCAGGTGGTAAAGTAAGTCTCCTATCCAATTTCACTTCTTTTCAGTCATCCCCATCAAAAAGTGGCATAAAAAGTGATTTTGCTCAAGACTACATAAGCTTCTTTCTCTCTGTTTAAAATCCTTTAAGCATTGCTCACTCTAGAGTGAAATGGAGTAACCTGATTCCTGCCCTTTGAACTCATCTCTTGCCACAACCAGACTTCCTGGAAACCAAGACTTAGCCCTCCCAACTGCATGTAATTCCTTAAAAGTACAGGTTCTCTTCTCTGCTTTCTATGAATGAGATGTCAGTTTGACAAAGCACAGTTTCCTTCGTTGAACTCACAGGGCAGAGTTAAATATGGTTACCCAGGGTACACCTCATGACAGAGGCAGCAATTCCTTAGAAATGTTTTCTAAGAAAAAGAGAGAAAACCATGGATTCCATTTTCAATGGATTTGCACAATGCAAAACAGAATGACATTTTTTTTAAAGTTTTTTTTTTTTAAAGATTTATATATTTAGGCCCTCCCTGGTGGTGCAGCAGGTTAAAGCACAGCACTAAGAAGCTAAAGCCACTTCTGCATGAGTTCGATTCCCGCCTACCCCGGAGGTGACCACATGGTATGGCAGACCTCTCCTGACCTGCCCGCTGCTCCCCTCAGCAGTGTACTTCATTGATCTGCCTATTCTGCTCCCCACTCTGTCTCTGGTGAATCCTCTCACCCTCCACATCTCTGGCCTGTACTCCAGTTCTGTATGAATAAATAAATCTTTAAAAAAATTATATATTTATACATACAGAACTGGGGTACAGGCCAGAAGTGCAGGAGCAGTGAGAGGATTCACCAGACAGAGTGAGGAGCAGAACAGGCAGATTGACAAAGTACACTGCTGAGGGGAACAGTGGGCAGGTCAGAAAAGGTCTGCCACGTCCTGAAATACATTTTACAGCATAGTAGCAGGACTTTGGCTTTTAAGTTTTAAGCATCAGTTTGTAGTAAGAAACATTTTCCTTTTCTAATTTGCTTATGCTCTGGAGATAGCTCTCCTTGGTGTCATTTCCAAATATATCAGGAATTAGCTGTGTGTCCGTCCAGAGATTACTTACTTATCTATGTTTCAGTAAAAGGTGACCAAAAAACTGTCTATATCAGAGCATTGCTGTAGGGATTAAATACATTAATATCTATAAAAGCCTTAGGACATTACTGGCTGGTGGTGTGTACTATGTTGTGTAGCTTCTGTTCTCATTACTGCTGAAGTATTCATTAGATCTATTATATAATGCCCAGGTCTCTTGTTCTTTGTCTGATTAACCCCACCACCACTCTCTTGGCTAATCATTTTTCAAGTCTCAATTTTTAATAAAAGTTAGAATGACCTGAATGGACTGATCTAAGTCACTGATAGTTAACTACAAATCTTAGTATAAAATAGTGGCATATCCATGCAATAAAATATCATCCATGCAATGCAATAAAATACTATCCCATATGGATGGGAATAACTGGAAAGAAGCAAAACTGTTTGAGAGGACACTTAGAGTTGTCGCACTAACAAATATTGATCATAAGGACCTGGCAGGATATTAACTAATAATAAAAAGATATATTAGTTAAGAAAAGATTATTTAGTAACTACTAAAATGCTAAGCAATCTACAGAAAGCTTGGTGATTTTTGTTTTCTTTTGTAAACCTTCGTGTATTTTCTAAATTTTGTACAATAACCATATGCATTTTCTATTAAGAAAAGGCAAATGAATATAATTGTTTTTTAAAGATCAGGCATCACATTCTCAACTCTTTCCCACGACCTTCCAAAGCCTGACATGGCAAGTACTCAATATTAAGTTTTACAAATTATTTCCTTCTCTTGCTGGCTATCTTCTCTTGCTGCGACCAGCCTAGAAAGAGCCAGAAATAGGCAAAAGCATACTGAAGGAAGACAGTTGGTTCAAGGGAATGTGGAAAGGTTTCTGGAACCCACCAATTACTGGAGAGGCTTTAACCTTCCCTCAGGAATTAGCATCCCCCAAGGCCACTGTCTTCTGACCTTGTCAGCCAAGAGCAAAACTGAAAGACCTTTTACAACATAGTAACAGGTCTTCGGCTGTTACGTTTTTAGCATTAGTTTGTAGTAAAGAACACTGTAAGTGAGTGGGCCTGGCCCAGGTATGTAGGTGGTGAACCGTTCCCACCAGCTCACTGCCTTCCAGATTGCATCAGGGACCCTGAATTTGTGTTTGTTTCTTTGACTTACAATCCAGGTTCTTTCTGCTCTGCTTCCCCCAAGTTTCTTGCTTCCATATTGACAAGATCAAAGGATTTACTTTTTTTATTATTATTATTTTGACAAAACAACCATCTGTTCTATCCAGCTTGTCTTGGCTGTCCAGTTTCAACATTTGCTTTCAAGTAATGCTCAAACTTTGTTCCAAAGTTTCCTCTTAGAGGTTCATAATTTTGGTCCCAACACCTAATGGTCTTCCCAACACTCATGAAACTTCAGCAGTTTTGTATGTCTTCTAAGAATCTGATCTCTTCAGAGACCCTACATCTGCAACCTCAGATGCTCACACTTGGAAATTTGGTCATCATAGACCAAGTGCTGAATGAACTTGGATCTTGACTCACATCCTGTGTGAACTTGATCAAGTAGTTTAACTTCCCTAGGCTTTGCTTCCTAATCTATACAATGGAAAAACATTGAAATCAGATGAAACCATGGATGTGGACATGCTGGGGGAAAGAAAAAATACCAGGACTTTTGTCAGGTTATATTATTGCTGTGAATGCAGATCTTGGTGGCAATTAGGGGAAACTGAGAAGACAGATGACAAAGCAGATGTGAAATTGTCCAAAATAGTTATGAGCATAGTGCTAGACAAGATTATGGGAGGGGAAATATCTTTATTACCATGAGAGAAGGGAAGTGAAGGATTTCTCTATTTTCAAGTAAAGGGTGGCTCATACATTGCAGAGCCCTGGAAACCAATGTTTACTGTCACTTAATTTTTCATCCTTTAGTGGAAAGAGTTGATTTCCTTGAATAAATTACAAGTGCCTTGTAGTAAAGCTATTGCATGTGTGGGTTGATGGCAGGAGGCAGGAAGGAATTCATACCCCTTCAGGAATGGGGAATCAATGATATTTTGGGTAGGATGTCAGAATGCCCAGTTCATTCTTAGTTTATTTAGCTAAATTGAGTTCACAGAGTTCATATCCTGAGTCCATGTTGCCAATAACATTCCATTATTATTAGTAATTTGGGCTACCTCTGGATCTTTACTGAACAAGTATTTATTGAGTACTTACTGTGTACAGAGAGATAACAGCATCATGCAGTTTCTACATCAAGAAGTTTGCTTTATAGCGGGAGAGACAACCAGATAGCAATATTATAGGTGAAAAGATGAAAGTAACTCTGGGCTATAGAAGCATAGTGGGAAATAAAGAATTTGAGAGATCAGGGAAGGTTCTCTAGAGATGAGAATGTTTTTTGTCATGTATTTGAGAGGCATTTATTATCCTCTATCAACTATTGCTCAGCATACAAACTTTGGAAATAATAGATTTGGCTAAATATATTCACACAAGTCCTTTGTACAGTTGGTGTGAAGTTTCACTGGTGTGAACACAATATTGTTGGACACCTTCATGAATAAAACAATATACCTCCCTGAATCAAAGATCAAATCAAGGTTAGGAGGCCATATTCAACAGTCAAGTTCACTGTGTAGCTAACTGCCGACTAATCAGCTGTTCTTATCGATCATTCTCCTGCTGTTCCAGACAGATAACTTCATAATCCTCCCAGAACTTGAAGGTCTGCATGCCTCCCTCAGTTCAAAAGAGTTTTCCATGCCAAGGGCTCCTCCTTACCATACAATTCGGTTTAGACTTGTCTTGGAATTCATTGTAGCCTCCTCCATCCTTTGGGTTCTCTGACATATGTTCCTATCTTTGACTTGACACTTCCCTAATTCCAACTTGTAGGACAGATACTTCTGTCACTGTCAACTCCATTACTAAGTACATGAAGAACTCTTTTGCATTTAGGAAGAGGGCTTCATTCAACTCTGCATTCCTCACAAAGAGCAGGTGACTACTGAGTTGGGTTGAATGGAAATGACATGGAGAATACAGTCTGTATAGACCTTGAGGCATGTAAGACACACCTTCCTTCCCTTACAGCAAGGTCCTTGTGCATGAAGTTGAAACACTCCAGTCAGGAGAGATACTACCATTTCTGATTTCAGGGATCATAAAATGTTGGAGCTGGAGGTGAGAGTCTTGCTGAAGATCAGGCTCACATTTGAAGCAAGGCTCACATAAAGAAAGGATGAAGGAAGAAAAGAGTCCAATATGCATGTGTGTGGTGACATTGTACTTTAGTGACTGTGTACTCCAGTCTCTGATTCCACATCCCCACAACATCCAGGAGGCCTGACTTCCCATTTTACTTTCATTCCTCTTTCTCATCGAGGGAGCAATGTGGGTCAAAGTGTAAGTGGGTGGATAAGCTTCACATTGAGCTGAAGATGGACAGACTCTTGATTCAGCAATCCCACGTGCTGTCACTTGTCCCACTTCATGATTTACTGTGTTTCCTGGCCTTTGTAAGCTTCGCCTGGTTACCTTGAGGTCAGCAGCACTTGCTGAACCAGGTAGGGCTTTACTTGAACACCCAGAATCCCCTATGGACTGGCTGGGAAATACCCACATGTTTAGATCACATATTTTTTTCTATTACATAGGTCAGCTCATTGCTCGGTGTCCAATCTGTTTTTACATACTTGAAGAACATTTTGTTATCTGGGTCTTCCAAATTTGATTCTGATTGATTTCTTTCTCCTTTTCTATTATTCATCTGAGTGAACTTGCTGACTTTTTTCTTTTCCATGCCCTCCTGCTTCCAGGACAGTCTGACTCAATCTCTTCTTCTAAATTTAGTCTTTATCAGATGAATCCTTGCATGTATTGTGTAGTGTCTATTGGTCAATAGTTTCACTTTTTGTGGTCACACTCCACTTTTATCTTGGGTAGAAAGAAAATGGATTCCACAGTTGAAGGCAGTTCCGTTCCCTCTTGCACTGCCACAAAGCAGCCTTGAGATTATCAGTGAGCTCTGCTCTGCTCTGCTTCTTGGCAACCCTTCCTGCCAACCCTTTTGCTTGGGATTGGTTTAGATGTCATGTGTATACGACAGCTTGCTTTGCACCTGGCACAGTAGATGTTCAGTAGGTAGATATGGTAAATGTTCCTGAGTTGCCCTGCTAGAACCATCTGCACACCCAGTGCTGGCCCCCCTTTTTTGCCCAAGGACACATATGGACACTAGAGTCACTCAGCACAGCAGGAGGTCCAGGAATGGGACATGGAGTCCTGACTTTATCTTCATTCTTGGGGCCTGATTGTGGCCACTGTGGAGAGACTGACATGAAGTTTCCAGCTTCGGAGGTGCTAGCCACAGACATCAGCACAATTCGCATCTACATGTGCCTACTGGCAAGTGTAATGTTCTGTCTTTCCTTCTGGGTTTGTAATTCTCTTCCCAGTCTTGGTCTCTGCCTCTGGTGTACCACTTCCCTCTATGGTGCAGCCCACTTCTTCTTCTTTCTCCCTCCCTCCTCTTTCCTCCGTGATGACACAGCCTGGGGAGGAGAAGTTGTGCAGAACTCCTTACTCTCATGTAGCTTCAGTTTCCTTATCCATCTTTCCATGACATCATCTCTACCCTGGAAATTCCACTCCCCCTCCCGGGACCCCAGCCACTGGCCCAGGTCTCAGGGTTCCTATAAAATGGGGCTCCCAGCTCAGTGCTGGCACAGAACACAGTTGGGTTCTGTAGCTTCTAGGCTCGTTAGCCTCCGCTCCAGAAAGCCTCTTTTCTGCCAAGACCATGAAGCTCTGCGTGACTGCCCTCTCTCTGCTCATGCTCCTGGCTGCCTTCTGCTCTCCAGCACTCTCAGCACCAAGTAAGTCCACTTTTTCAGCTGTTTGTAGAGTCATAGTATAGGCAGCACCCGAGTTTCTCCTTAAGGGTGATATAACCAGATGGTGGCATCTGGGAACGGGACAAAGGAAGCTGGGAAAATTTCCCCGTAATATACTGTTCAGTGTAGTCTAGCAGGCTTTCAGCAATATCCAAGTTGCTTTCTTATGAAACAGCCATTAGTTGACTTTAAAAGGCAAGTCTATAGTTAGCTGTGCCAAGGTTTCCCAATTTGTAAAATGAAAGGAATTAGACATTGCTCTGAGGACCAATCCAGCTCCAATATTGTAGAGTTCTTTCTCTTAGGATCTTCTATTCAGAGTAAGACTCCGAATCAGGGTGGGGGGGGCATTGGATAGAGGGACCACATTTGGGGATCTGGTCATTGCACTGGGCTGTCCAGTGAACATGGATAGATAGAATGAGCAACTCTCTGTGGAAATCCTTCTCACCCTGGCCTTTCTTTCCAGTAGGCTCAGACCCTCCTACAGCCTGCTGCTTCTCTTACTTCCCACGGAAACTTAATAGGGACATTGTGGTGGATTACTTTGATACCAGCAGCCTCTGCTCCCAGCCAGCTGTGGTGTGAGTATCAATCCCAGGTGCTCTGGGCAGTGAGGGAGAGGGCAGGATCAGGAAAGGGAGCCTCTTGTGGGGAAAGAGGGTCTAGCAGTAGGGAAGCCGGTCTCAGGACTGTAGACCTCCCATGAAGCAGTGGGGAACACGTCACCTGTTGTGTCCTGAGCGGGTGGGGAGACCTAAGGGAGGAACATTGGTTTGTGGGGAGGAAGTTAGTCTGAGGTCAGAAGTCAAAAAAATTATAGGACAAATGGAATGATTTCTTAAACATGCTTCAAAATACACTTGAAAATATCATTGAAGCAGAAAGGAATGGGAAGATATAGCTCTACTGTCAGAAGGCTCACTGGCTTTCCATCTGGGCAACCTGGATGAGCTAAATCCGGTGGGAGTTCCAGCCCCAGTACTACTCTGGAAAGGGTCTCCCCACACTCTGGAGCTACCCAACATGGAGCTGTTCAGCAGAAAGAGGGGCTACCACAGGCAAGGGGCATTTGCAGTTGTCCTCCAAAGTCCCATGGGTTCTAATCTGTCTCCTCACCCCACAGGTTCCTGACCAGAAAGGGCAAGCAAATCTGCACCAACTCCAGCGAGCCCTGGGTCCAGGAGTATGTGAATTCCCTGGAACTGAAATGAGCCTTTCTGGCTGGAGATGGAGGGTCTCAGGGAAAGTCACCTGAGCCTGAGGCTGTCAGCAAGATGCCCTCCAGCCTGTAGTTGTCCTTCCTTCTCTTAATTTAATCTCCATTGTGTGTTGTGTTATTCTGTTGGGTGCTCTTTCCCTAATTTATATTCATTTTGCCAAAGGACAGATGTCCCCCAAGGGGATGGTCCATTGTCACTGTTTCTCTGCTACAGAGGAGACACAGATAATGTAATTGATACTGTATGTTTTCATAATAAAACTTTAAAAGATGTATACTGTTTCTTTGTGTTTTGATTTGGGATAAATGCCTACTGGTTTTTTTTTTAATTTATTTATTTATGCATACAAGAACTGGGGTACATGCCAGAGGTATAGGGGTTGATAGGCTTTACCAGAGACAAAGTGGGGAACAGAAAAGGCCAATCTACTGAGCTACTCTGCTGAGGGTGCTGAGGGGAGCAGCAGGCAAAAGAAGAGAGTTCTGCTGTGCCATGTGGGTCACCTCCGTGGCTGGGGATTGCTTCATAGTGCTGCACTTTAACCCCTTGAGCCACCAGGGAGGGCCTTGCCTGCTGCTCTTAATAGGCACAAATGACAGTTCCCAAATGCAGTAAGAATGAGCA